CTGAGTGCTGGAATAGTACCATTTCATAGAGTGAGCATATGTTTCCTTTCTTGAGAGAGAGTCATAATGGAGGCTGGGTGTCCTTTGATGCTTGTTTGGGGTAACATCTACTTTTAGGAGGACAATTTGTGGCAAACAGATCATCTCTTTGTAAATACAAATGAACAGTTTATGTAAACTACTTCTGTCCAATAGAAATAGAATATCCCATATGTGTCATTTTCTTAATGATACATTAAAGGGGGAAATGATACTTGATTTAGTTGGATTAACTCAAAAGTACCGTGGTGGCAGCATAAGTCGGTGGGGAAAATTATTTAGGTAATTTACATTTTATTAAAGTTAAGTCTTAAACTATGGGTCTGTGTTTTAGTTCATGAAAGTTAAGAAGGATAGGTTGATATGTAAAAACTGTCCCAAACTTGTTTGACTGTGTTCTAGAATCTCAAGTGAGTATGGGTTGTCCATTTGAACTTTTCAGTTGAGTGAAAGATTGCCTTCTCTCAAGATGCACTAGCCACATTTCAGGCCCAGTAGCCACCTATGAGTAGAGCGGCTGATGAGTGCAGATTATAAACTCTGCCTAAATAGACCATCCCTGGAGAGTTTCCTTTCATTTCAAACACCCAGTGACTTCTGTCACCTGAATACAGAGCATTCGAGAGTAGTGAGAGGGTGTCTTTGAAGTCTGCTCCCTCTGCCTGCGGGAACCCAGAGAAGAGAAAGCTGCTGGCTTGGTTTTGTTTGCGCACCACCCCTCTCCCATGCCGTGTACTCGTCACTCCGCCTGGCACTACCAGTGTCCTCTTTCAAGCGTACAGACACCAGGGGTGTGACTGCAGTGCCTTCCTCCTGCGATAAGATTTCCCCATCTCTGTGCTGGCCTGAGTGGCTGTGACAGGGAGACTATGGGGAAGCCATACCCGTGTGTCTGTCCCCATCTGCCCGTGTGAGGTCACCGAAGCAGCTGGCATGCTTGGGGCAGCTGGCTCTCTCTCCAGTGCTGAGGTCAGCCCAGTTAGTTGAATGGACTGCCTTCTCAAGGGAGGGAGGGCAGAGCCAGGGCTAAGACAGATGGTACCAAGGCCAGTGCTCATGGACCACAAGTGTCACTCCCCAGGAAGGAACACAGCCACAGAGTCCTTCAGGGATATCTGTCACACTTCCCAGGCCCTTCTAAAGCGTCTGAAAATGAAGAATGAACATTGCTGAGTCTGGAGTTTTCCAGGGTGCCTCCTCAATGCTTATTGTCTTTCTTGTTTCTCTACATCATTTGGAGTTTTGTTAGTGTCTCTATCGGGGATGCCAAAATTAATGGGGGTAAAAAGTGGACCTGTTTTTCTTTGTGAGGGGAAGACTATTTTGACTCTGTCATGGTGAGGCTGCCCTAGTTCTGATTAGAGGGACGTGGATGCAGCAGGATATAGTCTCCATGCCATCAGAGCAGACACTCCAGTCACTGCTGACAACCTGATGTCAAGCCAAGAAAACACAACTCCCAAGCAGTACTACAACCCGCTTGTTCTATTACTCTACAGTATAGAGTAGCATATAGCGTCTCCACACTGCCCAGCTTCCATTCCACCGTGTAATATCTCATTAATGGGCAGATCTCGGAGGAACTGGGGTAGTGGTTATGATCAAAATACATTCTATGAAATTCTCAAAGAAATAATTTTTAAAATGAGGGGGGAAATACATTGATATTCTACCATTGGTCACCCAAGTAGCCATGTCATCTCCAAAGAAATCACATGGATTATCATTTGTCTGTCACTTCAGCTCACCAATGCAGAGGCAGGATGTGGAATGACTGACAACACGTGTAGGCAAAGAATCAGTTGGGTGAACTAATAAAATAATCAAAGCTTGCCTTGAGGTAATGGTGAAGGTATGCCAGAGTGGAAGAAATGGGGAGTCCTTGGCCATGGTATCTCAAGTCTGTAAATCCTGATATGAATTGATTTGGCCTATTTTAACAAAATATTTACTCACAACTGCTTTAAGTCATAATTGAATATTACTTAAAGAAGAGCTATTACTCCATTTGCCAATGAAGAAAGCAATTATTATTTTTATTTACTAGTAGTTTCATGGCCTAAGGCTGCACATGCAGGAATTATTCTGAATGAAGCTCATTCACTCTGGTAAGAAATCAAGAGTTTCTTTGTTAGTAGGAGCCACTTCCTGGTGACATGTTACACACAAGGGGAAGACCAGGACTCTTGGTTGAAACATGCTTGTTTTCAGGGCAACGCATCACTTTTGACTTCCAGGGGAAGGTGGAAGGAGCTGGAAGGATGATGCTTCGTGCCACCTCCCTGAAATCAGCCAAGTTGCTCGAGTGTTGCACCCATGACACCTGCTCCTCTATTAGACTTAGCTGGAAAAAAAGACCCTCACTGGTTAGTAAAAGTTTGAACAATCACTCTCGACCTATAGTTTGAAAGGATATAGTCCTTGATAGTGCAGGAATCCTTATAGACGAGACTTTCATAAAATAAGAGCAATTTCTTTTTCCTTGAGGAAAGTCCTTTGAGAGTTGGGATGTTGCACTTTTTAGTAGCTTTGGCATTCTTTACACTGGCTACCCTCCTGTCTGTTAGGAGTGGGACTGGACAGGTTCCTCTAGACGTGAATGGCCACGGAGCTGGATTTAGGATGCTCCATCTTTGTAGCATTCCACATCTGAATCCCATTCTTATATACACTCCAGAAGTATATAACCTTCTCCAACCAGTCATCTCTAACCTCCATTGGAGCAGGATAGAGACTGACTCTTCAGTAAAACAATATCAAGATAGGGCTGTCCTTCTTGGTAGAGTCACTGTTTGGAGTTCAGGTCTATAAACAGAGGATAAAACCACACATTTCTTCTGAGAAAGATACTCATTAGGCTGTGCCTTGGAATTTAGTTGTGATGTGTTCCTGACTTACTAAAACAAGGAAGTAGTCAAATGAATAGAATTTTTCATTATGATGTTATGAAAGTCATTCTACATTCTCAACTTCTGGCCATTTGGAGCAGCAAAGACTTCTAGAGAGGAATACCTGTGACTTGTTTTTCCTAATTATTACTGGAGGAGATCAATGAAAGTGGATTGCTTTTGCCAGCCTTCCTTAGAGAGGTTACCTTTACAAGGGTACTTATAAATACGCTACATTTTAAAAGTATCATTAGTGTCAGGGCTGGAGAGATGGCTCGGAGGTTAAGAGCACTGACTGCTATTCCAGAGGTCTTGAGTTCAATTCCCAGCAACCACATGGTGGCTGACAACCATCTTCAATTCAATTTGGTGTATATGTAATAAATAAATAAATCTTATTTTTTAAAAAAGTATCAGTAGTGTCTATAAAGGGAGGAAAAAAAGGTCCTGAAGCCAGTGGGAAAGTAGCCAGTTCTGTAGCTGGCTGCCCTCCTCAGCTGGCTGAAACCATGTGAATATTCCTCAAAAGTGTAGGACTTATTTAGAGAGATGCCATGCAAAAGTTTCACGTGTTATCCTTTCCTCTGTCCCGCTTGTAGCTTATGGAAGAAAAAGAAAAATCCTGGTGGGAAAACATAAAGCCACTCCTTTTTCCTACCAAACTAATTAGGGCTCATCTGCTTTTGAATTTCAGCTAGATTGGTTTTTATCTTCACACCCTTTCCCTGTTTCTTGTTGGATATGACAATATAGAAACTTTGTGTGTGTGTGCACATGCATGCACACGCATATGCACATATTTGTGTGTGTGCATGTACACATGTGTGGGTATATGTGTGCACATGTAGATATGCACATATACATGTATGAGTGTGTGTGTGCATGCCTGTGGTGACCACATGACAATCTCATCTGTAATTCCTTAGGCGTCACCCTTTTTTTGAGGCAGTTTCTCTCAATGGCCTGCAGCTGACCAAGTACACTGGGCTGGCTGGCCAGTGAGTCCCAGGGATTTGCTGTCTCTGCCTCCCCAGCACTGGGATTACAAGTGCAAACCATCATGGCTCTGTACTTTGTTTTCAATGTGGTTTCTGGAGACCACATCCAGGTTCTTAATGACCTGCCATTTCCTTGTGAAGATATTTCCGTGGGAAGCAAGCTTGTATGAATGGGCACACATATGAGGCCCTCATCAACTGTGTGACCAGGGTGCTTTTCATTTGGTCTCAGTGACATGAGCTAATCTACTTATGATAAGAATGACCGTCTGTGTGTCCTGCATCTTTTAAAACTATCACTGCTGGCAAAGTCTAGAGGACCTTCAGTGGGAGACAGGGGACCTTTGACATCCACAGCAGAATCAGTCTGTAGACATTGCTGGTAAGAATTCCACTCAATTTCCTAGACACACACCAGAAGAGAAACCACTCTATAGAACCCTGATGAGTCCCTTACAAAGCTCAGAGCTCCCTCTGCAAAACCCAGTATGTCCTGCTCCCAAGTTAAGGACTGCTGTGCTCAGGCCACACTGAAGAGCCTCTCTTTTGATTCCCCCTATTTGATTTTCTTGGTGAAATAATTGAAACATCTTAACTTGAACCCACAGGCTTTGGGCCCACTCTAGCATTTCAGGTGCTTCTCACTAAAGCTGTCAGTGTCTGTGCTGGTGTGTGTGTGTGTGTGTGTGTGTGTGTGTGTGTGTGTGTGTGTGTGATTCCCTGCTTAGATCTCTTCCAGTGCACCCTCAGAGAAGACCCCGGCGTCTTTGAGCCATTCTGCTGCTTCACTTCACACAATGAATATTCAGAGGCTGCAGCCACTGAGGACTCAGGTGGTACAAACAGTAACGTGATTACAATGAACCCTAGCATGAAAGCCACTCTGAAACACTGATGACAGCCCTGTTGCCCTCTCCCCTGCCCCTCATACCACATGAGAGGAGAGTCCTGGGGAACCTCTGAATTGGGCATCTGTCCCTCACAACAGTGGGCTCACGCCTTCCTGGATAATGTGTTGTCATGAGCATGTTGTTTTAAAAAGACAACGGACCCTTCTGTAGTCTTCGCTACAAAATGCATCAGGGCTAACTGGGCATAAAGGATGCCCTGTTGAGTCCAGCAATGCATGCATTGTTTGCCTGAAAATGGAGTCAGCATCTCCCTGGGAAAATATAGCTAATTTATTTTATATATTTTGCCACCATCAGCAGTTGAACTCAAGCTGCTCCGTTCTCTGATGGGTTAATTTTTGCTTGGTGCAGATCTAGGCTGATGGATAAATTGCAGCCCTTTCTCTTTTCGTGGAGGACTCTGAAGTCTTTTTTTCAGGATTAGTGCTTGCTTTCGACTGCCGCATGTGTGGTGACTCCGGATCCTTCCCCTTCGGAAGAGCGCCCTTTGCAGCATTCCCCCTTCGGAGGAATCACTTAGACACTTCCAGCTGGTGGCAGGGGATGCGGCCATAACATAGCTCCTTGGTCCCAGCTGCCTCCACTACAGCCTCTGCCGCAGGATGGCTGCCCTCTCCGGGAGAGGGGAAAGCGCCGCAAGGTGTAGGGTGAAATCCGGACCCGGCTGTGGTGGGTTTTGAAAGCTGCAATTTCCCCAGCATCTCTGCTTCTTTGCCTCTTGGATGCTTCCCTGCTGTTCAGCCCAGGCTCCTCTCCAGCGAGGGCTATGCTGCTCTGTGCCTGATTAGAGGTGCCCAGGGAGATCACCTTTTCGGAGAAAGCTCTGCCTGCTTGACAGGGTCTTTTTCAATGCATTATGGCTCATGCCGCCTCCCAGTTAAAGAAGAACCGGGATTTAGAAATCAATGCTGAAGAAGAGACTGAGAAAAAAAAGAAACACCGCAAACGGTCCCGGGATCGCAAGAAAAAGGTAGCTATGTGTGCCACCGTGCTCTCTCTCACCTTTGTGTCTGAATTTCCTCCCGGCATCTGTGACAAGCATGGAGGGCTCTTTTTCACGTGCAGCATAGAGTGTAAATTGGGGGGGCTGCTGGTAAAGCATGATCACAGGCTGGGCTTGGGCTAGGGAAGGTTTTCTCCTGGGGAAGGAGGGCGATTGCAGGGCTCTGCGGAAGGTGGAAGGTGCGCCTCACTTTACAGGGGCACCGGCATGTTTGCACAAAACACAAGGGTGTTGCCAAGGAGTTCAAGTTACTTTCTTTGCAGTTGGGTCAAGGTTAAATAGACTGGAGGTGACTGGTTAGCGTGGGAGCCGGCCTTTGTACTTCTTAGAGGTCTGTTGTGTGAAAAAGCCGCTTTTGTGTTGGAAGTGTGTCACATGTGTGCATATCTTGGGCAGCTTTGTGACCTCAAGCCGGTTCCTGCTTGGCTTTCTTGCTGTCCTTGGGTCTCTTACCTCTAGGAGATATTTTTCAGCTGGGGTTCTGCAATGGAAATCAAAGACTAGAAATAACTTTTTTTTGTGGTTAAACAGAGCTGAAATCACAGTGATTTTTGAGTCTTGCCTGCTGGGTGAGAGTGATCCTCAACACAGGAATTCCTGTGACCCAGGGGGGTGGACGAGAGAGCCCTGCCGCCTTTATCACTGATGGCCTGAGATCAAAGCCCTAATGAGGCACTAGGTACCCAATTCTATTGTCCGGGGCTGGGGAGGAGACACAGGAGAGAGATTCTAGGCCAGTGGTGTTTCATTGCAGCTACAGAGTTTTTACTATCTGATAGCTTTGCCCTTTAAGATAACTCCTGTGGACTGGCCAGTCCAAAGGACTTTCCCTGTGTGACAATTAAGAATATTTGACTAAAACCCTGTGATCTGAATATAGAAGCCAGTCATAAAACATTTTGATGTGTCTGTGGGAATACCCCAAGGGAAAGAGGCTCTTCAAGAATTCTCAGCCTTGATGTGTCTGCTTTGCAAATGACATGTAAATTCCATCCATGGAATCTACCTTTCTTCAAGAGAGAGATGGCTATTTTGGGTACCTTCTCAGGTTCCTTCCGGGTTCGGCTCTACAGGAGTAGGCCCTCTGCCTGAAGGAAGTGGAATTTGGAGGGTTGCGGTGGTTTTGCGGCAAGATGTTGCATGTGCGTACTTTCCCTTCGGGTATTCTTGTAAATAAACTCCTTGGATGTCTTTTCATAAAAGTATAAACCTGGGGTAAGGAATTCTGTGATGGCTTGTTTTAAAACCTTTTATAGCAGAGTTAGGAAAATGACCCTATTTTACTAGGTTCTAGTCTTGTTTTATTATGTGAGATTTGGCTCAGAGAAGGTCACTATGGATGGCCTCTTGCCAAAAATCCCTGTCTCCACTCCCTGATGCTAAATGGGCTTCCAAGACACGGGCCAGGGTATGTGTATGTGAAGGATCACACTTTGTTTTTTAAAGATCCAGTGTCATCCAAAGGTTGATGGCAAGATCTTGTATCAGCAGTGACTGACCTGGGCCCATGTTTGACTAGGAAACCGCACAAGGAAAGGTGACATAGGGTTGCTTCAGGACTCTCCGAGCTGGAGCAAAAGATCTGTGGACCAGCATGCTTTGCTGGAAGTGCGACAGTCCACCCAATGTAAATCTCTTAGCAGCCAGAGGGCCACATAGCGCAATATCAATATCACCATTGTGGACGGACACGCTGATGTAGCTACATTGTTCTCAGGACTCTCAGAGAGGAGCTGCAGAAAAGTGGCTCAGGAATGACACTGTCATGGCATTGCAGATGTGTCACCTAAAGGACATTGTGCTGTGGAACATAGTCCCTGTGGTCAGAGTTTCCAATGAACGGTTTGTTCTTATTGTATGTATAAAGTTAAGATTCAGTTACTTTGAAGACATATTCTCTACCCACTTGATGTGGCAAATGTAACTTTTGTTCTCTGAATTATTTGGCTTTGAGCCTCTTCTGAACCTTTTCCTAGAATCCTAATCAAGGCCAGTGGGCTACTTTGTTCCATAAGACAGACTCTGTACCAATGGGGAGGGGTGCTTTAAATCATGCTTTGTGGGGATAGTTGTTCATAAGCAGAACTGTCCCCTAGAATCTTTTAATTACATAAAAGTAATAGCAAACACTCTCGGATAACCCCATATTGCTTAGGATGTATCTAAGCTGCCATTACATAAAGAGCCTGTGACTTTATAAGTGAAAGACATTGGTCCATGGCAACCCTGTAGTTCAGGTTTAAGCAAGCCTAAGATGATCCTGTCTTGACTATAGGACACAACAGCAAACACACGTCATGCCATATGACTAAATATTATAGTCAAACCAGAATGCATAGGAACTGCAATGCCAAACTGACACTCTACCAGGTTTCTTGAAGCCCAGTGAACTGTGCATTTATTCTCTCTTAGCTATGTTAACTAGGAGCATGGACTGACTGCTTGTCACACACAAAAACCAAAAATGCTAATGAATTTTTAATTAGTTGAATTTTAATGAAGACATTTTATTCTTGGCATAGCTTCAGTAGCTTTAAGTGGGTTAAAAAGGAAATGCATCTAAGAAGTAGTTAAAGCCTTTAGTGGGGGTTGAAGGTGGGGGCTAATGGCGATGGACCCCAGGTCCCTGCACATGCTCAGTTTGCACTCTCCTGCTGAGATCTATCCAGGCCTCTGGTTCTGTTTGAAGGAGCTACCAGCAAGGCTTTGATGGATATTGGTTTAAGCCAGACAGTTTGTCATCCCACACTCCCCCATGAATCTTTCTGTCATCATTCCATTCCCCTCCACACTCTCCTCTCCTGGTGGACTCCTTAGGTTTACAGCAGAGCACAGCAAGCCAAGGTAGGCACAGCGCCCTGGCTAGGTGATTCTAGGTCTCTGTTCTTGGCAGCTTGCAGAGAGAAACTATGTCACCAGCCCATAGATGTGTATCAGTAGATGCCGCAACCTGCCACAAACCCAGGGAGGCATGAGATCCCTTCTGGCAGTACCTGTGTGGTTCCTGCATGCCCCCTTGCTGCCATTATCCATGTGTTCATGTTCTTCGCATGTTCTCTCCCCCATGAGCTGCTAATGCATTTCTGCACTGGGAAATACCAAGAAAATGAAATCTATTTTATGCAGTAAATTGTCTTTAGACATATGAGTACCTGATAGCTTATGTTTATGATACCTGGTTTAAAAAAAAAAACACCTTGAAGGTCGCCTGAGGCAAGCCCACACTCAGGCACTACGGAGTTCCTTTATCTCTGTGCATAGCTGACATGGTGCTAAGTACTGAGATAAACTGGAAATCGTGAGAGTAATTAAATTCTGTGAGTAGTATCATTTCTGATTACTGGTGCTGAATTTGAATAATCAGTAACAAAGCAGGAATAGATCCTCATTGCTTCATCCTTATACCATGCATTCATTCAGTCATCATGTACGAGATGGGTTCTACCAGTCAGGTTTCCTATCAGATGTTGGACAGGAACATAAACAAATAGTGGTATGATAACTCCCAAGAGAGATTAGGAGAAAGATAAACCCATCTCCCATTATCCTCCAACAGGGCAGAAAAAGCACTTCCAAGAGCCTACGCAGAGACTCCCCCCACCCACCCAAGTTGACTAGAATGGTCTTATAAAAGGATCTGAGCCTTGGAGGATAAGGCAGGGATAAAGAAGACAGGGATGACAAGACCACCCCCCCACCCTCCAAGGCCAAAATGGTAACAGTAGGAGAAACCATTTGGCTACACGGAAAGCAGATGGTATTTTGGAATGCTTTGGGGGAAAGGAATCTGCGTATGTGGCAGGAAAAGTCAGGAGGGACCAGAGTCTGAAGACCTATGTGTGCCATCCTCCAGGGATTGGCCGGTTGCTGCTCCAGGTTGGCAGGGTGCCTGTTCTGGAGAAATACATCACTCTCAGTGTTGTAGACAGCGGCAGCAGAGCAGTCAGGAAGCTCGCATGGTGATCCAGGCAGGAGATGCTGGGAGCCCAAACTGGGGGAGGGTGGGGATCTGCCAACAGAGAGGGGGCGTGGCGTATGAAAGATATTTAAGGGAAGATGCAGTAGAACTTGGCAGTGGATTGTAGGTGGGAAGTGAGAAGAAATCAGATTCCAGGGAAGCTGCCAATTCCTGGCTCCAAGGGAGAAATGAAGAATCACATTTCCTGAATTCTAATCTTTTCTTCCAGGCCCATTTGCTGACCAGCTACCATGCGCCAGGAGGGGCTTTCTTTGTGTTCTTGTGGGTGGAGGCTCACTTAGCATTCACAAAAACCTGTCAGAATGTGTTTTTAGTATCTCCATATTGCAACTGAAAAAACTGAGTCATAAACCAGTAAACTGATTTCTGGAGTCCCCACAGCTGGAGCTCATTAAGGGACATATGGCTGGTCTGTCCATCTCTCTTGACTGCACTCTTCACATTCTACCTTATGGGTATACATGGTATCCATCTTGCCTCTGTGCACCCAATAGACTTGTTGAGCTAGGAAATATTTCCATTGCTAAAGTGCTTGTTGCATAAGCATGATAACCCAAGGTTGATCCCCAGCACCCACATAGAAACAAGTGGGCATAGTAGGGTTCGCCTGTAACCCCAGTGCTCACTGACCAGCTAGTCTAGTGGAAGATGTATTTCGTGCCATGGAAGGACTTTGAAAAGAACAAAAGATGGAGGGCTCCTCAGGAATGAAGTTAGAGGTTGACCTCTGGCCTCTGTATACATATATCTGCACACATGTACACCCATATCTGCATGCATGTACATCCATATGAACACATGCAAACACAATGGAGAAAAAATTTTAAAAATCATAAGTGGACTTCTTTAAGAATGTTTTGTAAAGGGATTTTTTTTACTTACATCAGAAATCTCAGGTCATATAGTTGGCTTCTCAAAGATAATTCAGTATAATGGTGTGTCCTTTTCATCTTCTGTGTAATGTGTTTTAAGGTTTTACCTAAAAGTT